AAATTCATTAAGTGAGGAATTTATTAATATAAAAACCTTTTGAAAGTATCATATAATATCATGAATAATTTTAAGTGCATATTTTCAAGTAATTTTATTTGTAATATGTAATAATTGATTATCGAATTAAAATAAACATAACAACAACAAAACAACAACAAACAACATTTAAATGGCAATAAATAAATGAATTGTATATCATAATTGAAATTAAATTATTATAAATAAAATTATTACAGGATGTAATAATTAAAATAATATATGATATTATTCTTTTATTTAATTTAAAAAGAAGAAAAAAATAAGATAATGCTATTTGAAAAATAAATAATAATTTTATAAAAAATAAAATAATTTTATTTTTTATAAAAAATATTTTCAAAAGTTTTCATATAAATAAAGTTGAATTTGAAAACATGAAGGGAAAATTTGGATTATAAATGGAAAATATTTTATCGAAGTTTTCGAATAATAAAATTTTAACAATTAAATTCAACACATAAAAACTTTAAATATAATAAAGACTTTAAATTAATAAAAGAATTAAACAAATTAATATCTAATTTTTAAATTCATTTAAACTCAAATCCTTAAACTTAAACTCAAAATTTTGTGAAGTTTCAAAAATCGAAATTCAAAATGTTTATTATTTTTCTTTTTCTTTTTTTTTTTTTGCAAATTATTTTTCATCTAAATTTCGAGAGTTTCAAATCACAAGAATAGTTTTAAGATTTCGAATTTTCAAAAGTTAATACATCCCTAATTTTTTTTAATTGTAAAGACTTAAAGAAGGAAAAATTTATATATCTTGTTTTTAATATTGGATTCAATTCCAATATTTGAAAGAAAAATGACAAATTATTCTTTCAAATTAATTATTATAGTTAATATATTCCGATACATAATTAGTTATTCTGAATTTGCATAAAATAATACACTTAAACATATGACAAATATTTAGAATTAATGTAAATTTACATTTTGATAAATAGAGGTTTTTACAATAAAATGGAAAGAAGAATTATAGTTTTATAGAAATTTTCAAATTATAAAAATTCAATCTTTTCTTCGCATAATAACAAAAAACTTTCATGTAAAACAATTTTTTGTTAAATTTTAAAAACAAATTTAAATATCGTTATAATCCATTTATCTCGCATTGTGTACATATATAATAATATATGTATATATATATAATAGTAGTAATATATTACTACTAATAATGATAATAAATAACGTTATCTAATGTAACAGCCTAAATGCAACAACAATGTTATTGCGGCGTTAATTAATGACAGTATTGATACTCTCTTCACTCTTATGCTATTGATAAAACGAAAAATGATTTTGACTAGGATCACTAAAAATCTTTAAATCTATCAATTAAGCAGGTGCGAACAATTCTAAGTTTTAGTCAATTCTTAATGTTATCGGATTATTTTAAATTAAAGTTATTTAAAAATTTTAAATTAAATTTAGTTAAAATTAAAAAAATTTTAAAATATAAAAAATGTAACTATCAATATCTTAAGTATAGAAAATAATTTAAACAGTTGTACTAATTTATAAATAAAAATTTATAAACTTCAATTCATATTATCTTTATAAATTTTTGAATTCATATTATAATTATATGATTATATAAATTTTAATATATATATTATAATAAAATTTTTAATTCATATTAAAAAATAATTAATTAAATTAATTAAACTAAATTAAATTTAATAAGCATTAATTTAATTTATATATCGCTTGAATTAACAATAACTTTCATTTTTTGTTATATATCGTTTATTAATTTTATGTATTAATTTTGATAATAAAAATTTAAAAAATATAAAATAAAAAAAAATAAAAAAACATTGATAAAAAAGATAAAGAATTTAACACAAATGTTAAAATTTTTTAAATTTTTAATTTAAATTTTAATTTAAATTTAAATTAAATTTAAATTTTTTAAATTTTTAATTTAAAAAATTTAAACTTCATGTATTATTAAAAATGATAAGATTTAAATGTTCTTGCATAAATAATTGATTTTTTTTTAGATTAAATTAAATTTACATGTGTAATTTGAAAAATCAATTTGAATACTGTTCAGTACAATTATTTAATTCGCACTTGCTTATTTTTTAATAATTTACCATATAGGCGCCAAACGTGTAACAATTCTGAACAATTGAGTATAGAATTGTATCAAAAACATGTCAAAACGGCACTTTATAAATGTAATTCGTATTTGTACGTGTATCATACATCTTATTACATCTTGCTATTTATCATGGTTTAAGCATTTACTGTATCAAGTTTTTTTTTTTTAATATGAATACAGTCTATTAATTCACTACTTTACTTAGTCCTCAAAAAAAAATTTTATTAACAATATAATCAATTAAAATTTAAAATAATTGAAAAAATATATTTTACTTTTTGAAGTTTTTTTTAATTTATTTTTTTTTAATTAATTTAAAATTGTGAATTAATTTATTAAAAAATATTTTCAGAATTTTCAGAAATGCATTAAAAAAATATTGGATGCGAAAATATTTAATCGGTCAATCAATAAAGAAAAAGTAAAAAAATAAAATTTTTAAATTTTAACGAGGACTAAATATACATAGATATATATTTTTAATAGATGAGCAATCGAAATGTTTGGCACCAAATTTATTGATATAAAAAATTCTTTTATGTAAGATAAATGTTTAGATATTTTAAATATAAAATAAAGGCATATTAAAAAATGATTTTCTGAAATAAAATGTGTATTCTTTAGAAAACTGTTTACTATGAACATAATCTAAAAGATAAATAATTGAAAAATATAGGCGCTATATTATAGTAAGCCAATATAATTGGTCCACTTAATATTATATTTTTCATTGTTACTAGCATCAAAAGATAGATGCAATTTGAAATAATTTGTATCAGGATTGTTCAACTATAATGCTTTATTTTATTTTATATGATTTAATTTTTTCAAAAAATCATCTCTATTTTTTTCAAATTGATTCAAAATCTTAATTTACATTACAAACAGACTTTTATTTAATATAGGCACTTAGAATGTGAACATTTAGGATTTCACTCGTTTTCCTTAATAAATAATCCATTTAAAAATATTTTCTTGTTTATATTTTTTTATCATAAACTATTTATTCTTTCCATTTTTATATATTTTGAAGATAATTTTTTAGAATTTTATCTTTACTGTTAATATATATGTATATATTATATGTATATATTAACAATGATTAAGAGCACAAAATTGAGCAATCCTGATCTAATTTTTCACAAAGGTAACAATATTTGCACTATAATATATATTGTCTATATTAAAACAAAATTTAAATTCTTAAAAAAATGTTCATGGTATATTATTCGTGATAGTATAATAGAAGCATATAAATTCTTATTTCATTATTATATTATTTAGATTAAAATCGACTATGAAATAATATTTATTTTGTTATCACACAAATTGAAATTTGTTAACAATTGAGTACACAAATATTGTAAAAATCAAATAATTATATAATTATCAAAAAATATGACTATACATGTTGCACAATATATTGAATATGTTGACTCATCAAATAAACTTAAAAAAAAAAAAATAAAAATATATATATGTATATAAATTATGACTAAAAAGCAACTAATTATTTTTTTGAATATTGGAAAATATTATTATAAATTTTAAAGCACTATAAATCACGGCATATATAATTTATATTTATATAGAATATGTAAATTAATAAACAAATAAAAAAATAATAGAATAATATTATTGACATACTTATTAATGTTCTTTTTCATTTTGAATAAACAAATTTTAAATTTGTGTGTTAATTATTTTCAATAGGTATATGAAATAGCTCAATTACAATATTAATAGAGCAACTTATTAAATTAATAACGAATGTAACCAAAGTTACTTACATACACATTGCATTTGATATTATATTATCAATATTATTTTGAAATTATATACTGTGCGAATATCGTTAACGAGACATTTGCGATTCTTATAGAATATGAATAACGATATTGTTCGATACTAAACTTTATACATGTATAATATGTATAATATACGTTTTATCAATTTTTTCTAGATTTCTGTTATTTGTAATTAAAAAGTTTATATATAAAAAATTATTTAAGAACAAAAAATATCTGTGGCCCTTTTGTATGTTTGTATTAAAATTTCTTACAAAACATAATATATCACAACTTTGTTACTTTGTTTTTGTGAAAAAAAAAAAGAAGATAAAATAATTATGGAAAACTCAAATATTTATTCTCAAATATCTAATTAATAATATTTTTCATTTAGCTGCACTCGTAATGTTTTGAATTTTAATGAATGTATATAAACTCAATTCATAAGAAACAGTCGATAAATATTATATAAGATAGCTTAATAATGGCTAGATTTTTTTATGACCACGAAAAACTTATATAATATCGTTATTATCTCTTCTTACTTTTCAATTTTCCAATTTTATATTTTTATAATTCTTCTAATTTATTAATTTTTTATCATATAAAAATATATATTACAATGTATTATAATATCACTCGCTATTTTCAAATATTTTTTTTATTAACATTATATGGCAATATATTATGTTATGCATATATACACATGTGCTTTTACGTTATATATAATATTTTTTTGAAATATTTAAGTATTTATTAATGTATTAAGAATTTATTGTAATAAAAAATTCTTCTTCTAAAATTAAATTTTTTAATAACTCAAATAATTTGTTTCTAAGAATATATTATATATATATTAATAGAATATATTATATAGTATACATTATAAATATTTTTTTATAAAAGTTATATTGATATATGCTTTGAAATTCATGTAGTTTCAAATATTAATAAAAAGAAAAATGTTATAACATTAATGAATTTTATAGAAAATAAATATAAATTTAAATAAATCTCGCAAAATAATAGAATTAAATTTATAAGAAAGAAAAATAAAAATGTATGTAATGATTTATTTTAAATAATTTTTAAAAGACAAAAAAAAACGAATTGCAAATAAAACGAGTGCAGCTAACTGAACAGACATAGATTCTATAAAATAAATTTCAATCGTTCAACGAATAATGCATCTTACATTTTATCTTTGCTGGTCAAGCGATTGTGTTATTATGCATTTCTGCAAATTCTCTGGATACTTTGTAAACATAATATAAACGTTCGTAGAGATCTGATGTACAACCAAAATCTCGTATATCATTTAACCAATACGAAGATGTACGTCTACTAGTATCTATATATGTAATTAGATATCCCTTGTTAGGAGATTCTTGTGAGACTACCAATTTCGTATGATCCTCGAAGAAATTCACTTGTAAAAGTGGTACTGATAATTCCATCATAATAGTTTTATCAGTTCTTAACCATCTTCTCATTCGTGGCACACAAATATTCTTCGACTGCTTTTGTGTAACTCGGTATTTCTTAATTTCACCACCTTAAAACACATTATTAACAATTATTGATTAATAATTGTAATATATATATTTATACAATAAATAATATATAATTATATATATAAATTTTAACAAAAGCAAAATCTGAATTCAACGAATCAAAGTTATTTTTAAAAAATATTGATTTTTTTGTTTCATTTATTTCTCGTTTTTCGGTCACATCTTTTTGCATATTTATAATATATAATATATAATAATATATAATAATTTTTTTGTTTATAATTAAAAACAGTTATTATAGTAATTTATTATAGCAACTTATGGATAATTATCCAGTTTTCTCAATTTTGGCTATTTTACCATAGTTCTTTTTTTACTAGTTTAAATTAACTTTAAATAAACCACTTTATTTTATTACTATAACAAGAAATCAATCGATAAAATCAAAAAGTAATGTGCATTTTATTATAAAAAAAATTGCTATTACATAGAATTTTGTTTATACGAAATTCACTTAATTTTAATTTAAAATTAATTTAATTTAAATTTAATTTAAATTTTTTTAATTTTATGTACACTTATAATGTGTACATAAAATTAAATTAAATATACATAACATTACATAAAATTAATTAATTATAGTATGTGCGTAAGCATACGACTGCCAATTATCTTTTATTAATGTTATATAAATAAATCATTATGCAATATTATTAATATTTAATCATAAAAAGTTTTTGCATTTTACAAATCTTTCGAATATATTTTATAAAATAATTAAAAAAAATTATTTCAATATAATGTTTTCTTTTTTGTATATCATTTTAAAATATATATATATCTTATTTAAAATATATAATATAAAAGATTATAAATTCAAATAAACATAGATTCATTTACAAAGAAAAATTTCTAATAATAATGGATAATGATTTATGTGTATATATAGATTATATTATATTTAAGATTGATGATGATAATGATGAAATTAACATGAACACCATCAATAAATTATATAAAATATTATTTACCTTCAGTCATAAATTTATCCATATACTGTGTGAATCGTTGCAATAATACAAGTTTTTTCTGCAGAGCAGCTGGAATATCTTCTTCTTTTTGATATCTTGTTACTTCATCATCGGTTGTCACGTACTCCACTCTTCTTTGCAAATAAAAATGTGTTATTGAGTAAGTTAAACGCATAACAAATATTTAATTCTTTACATTATAATTCTCTAAATATTACTATTAGCTTATATCTTTCTTATTTTAAATTTCTCTGATTATCAAACTATCACTTTAAATAATCTGAATACAAAAAGATAAATATTATAATTGTTGTTTTTAATAATTGTTAATTATCTTATTGAATTTTAAATATCAAAACAATATTAAATTTTGAAAATATATCAAAACAAATTTTGACTTTAAAAAATTAAAACATAAGATCAAGAAAAAAAAATACCGACCTTCTGTCATGTGTGTAACTGATTTTCGTATGATCATTGAAGAGGATGCCTACAGATTTGTCAGATAGTTGAAAACCTAGGCCGTATTTATTCGAATAATCAATCCATTTAGTAATAAACAGAGGTACGATATCCCTTACAGGTGGATGATTACGTATCTTATTTTTACACTTTATTTCTTTGATGCAATTTTCTAGCGCTTGATGTATTTGTATACTCTGAGCTGTGGATCCAATAATTTTTTTCTGATCTGGATAAAGAACGCTGCTTAATCTTTGTCTGAATTTCGGAACTTTCCGAAGCTTTCGAGCTAACCAACTGATCACTTTCGACCCCTTTCGTAAACTTTTCTGAGAAAGATTTGTTTGATGATATTGTTGTTGCTGCTCCTGCTGTTGTTGAGATTGTTGGATAGTATGAACCTATAATTGCAATAAAAAATATTGATTAAATTGACTAAATGAAATAATATTTCTTATCAATAAAAATTGTTACATTAATTAAATTAACAAAAATTAAACAATAAAAATTAAAGATTATTGAATTTTTAATTTATAAATTCTCAAATTTATGTATATATATATATGATACGAATGTAAATTCATTTAAAATTTATTTATTTATTTATTTATTTACATTTTAAATAAAGTTTATACGATCATATCTATTAAAAATATTAAATATTTCAATATAAATAATCTAATTTATATATATATATATATATTCATTAATAAAATAAAAATAAAATTTTTTATTTTTAATTTAAGATCAATAATTTTATTTTAATTAAGTATTTTTGTCTTAACAGAAAAATGCAAAAATAACAAATAATTGAATATGATTATCTAAGCATTTTACTTATTGTAAAATAATATATTTCATTTAAAAATTTATTTATTTTTTTAAAGTTACTTTTTTTTAAATAATAATCATATTTAAATATCTAATAATACAATAATCTACTAATTTCTAAAATATTTCATAAAATATTTGATAATAATTTATTTATCGAATATTTTTAGAAAATCAATTCTAAAGATCAAAATAAACGTAAAAATTGGTATAAAATCAAAAAAAATATTAAGAATTCAGGATTATTTATTAAATTATAAATTATTCAATTTTGTGTTGAATAAAATAAGACACAAATAAAGTAAGACTGTTTTATTTCTTTCATACCATTGCTTCGTTCTATTTCTACCTCGCTTCATCTAACGCAAATTTCAATTATAATTTATAACTTATAATTTAATAAACAAGTTTTAACCAACATTTTTGTACACTAACTTTTATATTTGTTTTTCTCTCTAGAATTTACTCATAATTATCTCACGTATATATTAACATCTTATATATTTTTAAATTACTGTAAATATTAATTAATTATTCTAATATATCTTCAATTTTTAACTTTAAGTAGTTTTTTTATCTCTTTAATATGACTTTCGATATTTATTTTTTTTTTTTTTTTTAGTTAAAATACTTGTCAAATACTTTTTTAATCTATATTATAAGTAAATTATAATAATATAGATTTATAATATAGATTTGGCAATGATTTTTTGTATACTATTGAATTTTAAATATTAATTTCGAATATCGTTTTCTATAATTTTTTTTCTTGTTTTCTCTAAAATCTTGTTATTAATAATTAATTTTTTTTTATACAAAATTTTTTAAATTTTCTATCGTTATATGATTTATATAAAAATTATATTACATATATATATTATATTACATATATATATTTGTATATTTATTTTTTAATCTTATTTTAGCTAAATATTTATTATTGTATTATTGTATTTTATTATTACAATAATCTTAATATTTTTAGTTTAGTAAATTAATATTTTATTTTTAATAATTATTAATTTTCATCTTTTGAATTAAAATGAAAAATTATAATATAATTATTTTTATTATTGAAATATTCTTATCATTTAAATTCGTTATAATCATTTTTTTTTTATTTTTGTCTCAAATATTTCTAAAGTAAGATCTGACCTTTTAAAGTTACTGCTGACTATCGACCATTTTACTGTATCTACGGAACTGGAATTTCATCTCATATGACTTTGCACAATCTTTTGAAACTGAAAGTTTTATGTTTTATTTCTTATAGAAAATTTACATAATTTCATTTTAAATAAATTCTTATCCTAACCTGCCGATATTATCTTTCTATATATTATTTCTTTTTTATAAAATAATTTAATTTCACAATCTTCTTTTTACCTTATTCATTTTTCACAATAATTTAAAATGATTTTTTACTTACTCAGAAAGAAATGCAAACTTTATAAATTTTTTGCAACAGGAAATATTATAATATAATATATAATATATAAATTATTAATATTAAATTATAGTATAGATTAATTTTTTATGTTATTTAGTCAAATTAATATGACAAAAATTATCACAAAAATTTATCAATTAATTTGAGATATTCTGTAAAAAATAATTTGTCTTTTAAATAATATACTATATGTATATATGTGTATATATATATATATATATATATATATATATACACATATATATATACACATATATATATACTTATAGCATATACAATAAGATAATATATGCTTATAAATGAAATTCATTTACAGATAATTTAAATTTCAATACATATACATATGATATTATATCTATAAATATTCGATCTTTTTATTTCATTTTTTTTTATTGATTAAATTTTTAATTAAAAATTATTATTAATAATTTATTATAAAATTATATTAAAAATTATAAATAGATTTTTATTTATATATATTCAAGAAACAAAATTATTATATTATTGATTTCTATATTTTTACTTTAGTATTCTCATTCTTGATATTTATTTTAAAATTAATGTTTCGATTAATTGTTCGATTAGTCAGTAAAAAATAAATATTTAAAATATATAAATATTTATAATAAATATACCGTATATCTTGTTAGCTTTTATGCATATATGTTTCATCAAATTATAATATTAAACGAAATCTCATGATAAAAAACAGTATTATCTTTCTTATAACAATAAATATATTTTTTTATAAAAAGTTTTATAATTATAACTGTATATATTCGATTGTAATAATGAAGAAATGAAAAAATTGTACAATAAAAAATAAGTAGTTTAAGTATATAAAAATATTTTTTTATCTTGTATTGATAAAAATAATAAAATTAATTGTCATGTTTTTTGAACTTACAAAATTTAAGAATCGCATGTTAGCATTTATATGAATTTTTGAATGATCCACAAATTTTGTTTTTATATATTTATATTATAAATATATATTGCATCATCTCATTATTTAATTATATTTTATGTTTATATTGTATTTATATTTTTAATTTCAAATAATTTCATCATTTTATTTTATTTAAACGATATATGTAATATGAACGACAATATAGCAAGGTAAATATTATATAATATATTAAATTATTAGGAAGTTGCATCATCTTTTGTCGTGTTTATGCCATGCATTGCATTATTTTTTAAGTTTTCAAAATATTTATTTCATTATATTATAATATATTTGATTATAAATTTGTCAAAATACTATTTGACATGCGAAATATATTCTTATTTTATATTTTATTGATCTCATACCATAATATTATAAAATATCATATAGAAGGCCGGGACAAATCGATACAGGAATAGGTTGATACATAAAGCGAAATTATCTCAGTATTGCATAATAAAAATCGAAGCAAGACTTCATATATTTTTTATTTTTGAATTTTTTGAATTTTATTTTTTTTTATTTTAAATTAATTAATAAATAATTTAATTTATTTTGAATAATAAAAAATATTATCAATGGATATGTTATTAAAATAATTTATATCAAATATAAAATATTTATGTGATAGATATGTAATATTTGTAAATTTGTAAATCTGTTAGTCAATTTATATAAAACTATTCAAATAATTTGTTATAATAGTTTTTTGTATATTATTTTACTTTTGCAGTTAGAATTTAGAATTAGAATGTAAAATAATATATTATTATTTTATCTTTGTAATTAAAATACAGAATATTTCTATATTCTTTTACAAATCAAATTATCTATAAGTAAAATTTTTATGAATCGTTGCCTAGAACAATTAGAAATAATCATATGTTATTCTTTCTTTTTTTTCAAATGTTAGGATTATTTCAAATATTTGAAAATAAAAGAAGACACTTATTTGTTAATTTTTTTTTGCAATTAAAAAATTATTATTAGCTCTGATAATAAATATAATGAAATCGAAATTTAAATATTAATTCTATGATAAAAAAAGAAAGAAGTAAAAATATAAAATTGTAAGTTAATTTTAATTTCATCACAATAAGAAATAAAAAAGTAGAATTTTAAATTAATTTTAATTTCAATTTGTTTATTTGATTACTAAACATTTAACTTAATATCTATATTAAGTAATAAAAATATTGTTTGAAATATTGTTTTATATTTAGAGATTCTATAACAATAATTAAGGGATAATCCTTCTAAAAATCAATTAAACTATTTTTATTTATTAAATTCTTTTTATTTAAAATTTTCAATAAAATGAAACCTCCATAACTTGAGAATTTTATCTCTTTTGTTAAAATTTTATCAAAAATTGCAAAAATCTTTCTCAAAGAGATGAGAATAGTTTTTTTTGTCTCATCTACTTTTTTATCTCAAGCTTCTTTATTCATTCTTTTATTCTAATTTTATTCTATTTTGAACTTTTTTTTTGCATTATTTATTTTTTATGTAAACTTTTTTTATCTTTTTTCAATATTTCTTTTTGTCAAAAATATGACAACTTTTCAAAAGATTGATCTAAATTATATTTTATTAGTTTATTAGCAAATGTTAATATCGATTATTGAAATCAATTTTCATAGTTACAAAATTTTTTTTTAATATTTTAATATTTGACTAAGCCATCTATAATTGAAGTAATTATTATAATTTTTTTTATAAAAAATTTTTAATTTTTTATAAATTATATAATTATTACTATTAGTTATTGTGAATATTTTATTTATAAATATTGTTTTATTTGAAAAAGTAAATTACATTGAAATAAAAATATTCTTTTTTAAAAATTATTTTTATTTATGTAATAAATATGAATTATCCTTAATGAATTATCCTAATGAATCCTCCTATCCTTAATGAATCCTCCTAAATGAATAAATACTATATTGGTATATTTCCCTACATCATTCTTTTTTTTTTTTTTTTTTAAGTTTTCTTATGTACTTTCAATTTCTAATAACTCTAATTATAGACAATATAAATTTCAAAAACAAAATTTTAATTATTGATAATAAAAATATTAAGAAGAAAGTTACTTCAATAATTTATTATTCAAAGTATCGAATAATTGCATATAACTAATGCCACAACTAAGATTATAGATGAAGAAGTCAACTATAATAGCTATTATAATAAATTATTCAAATATTTTAAATAAACTTATTATTTAAAGTAACTTTCGAAATTTTAACTAATTACTTTTTTAATGCCCAAATGCCCATCAAAAGATATCGAATCTGAAAAGTTTTAAAGATCTTACATGCATCTTACGTCATATCATCAAACGATTTACATTAAAAAATAAACGATCATCAATTATGATTTACCTGAGTATTATTAAGTTTTTGATTTCTAGATGCAATAGAATTCGACGAAGGCGACGACATCGGATCGATTATAGAGGGACGTGGCATTTGGAAGCAAGAAATACGAGGCAACGAAGCTGGTACGTATTCCTTGGTAAGATAAGCGTGTTCCTTTACTCTCTCCAAAGAAGGTCTGAGCTCAGGATTCGGTTGGAGGAGCCATTTGATAAGATCTTGCCCGTTTCGGCTCGCTATCGAATCGTCAACCTCCCGATAATGATTGTTACATATCCTCGCGTATGTTTCTTTTAGCGATGCTGTGTCGAAAGGTGGTTGCCCTACCAGCAGGGCGTACAGTATGCACCCGAGCGCCCAAACATCCGCCTCGTAACTGTATGCTTGCTTATACAACACTTCCGGCGCGATGTAATTCGGTGTTCCGCATATCGTCCTGCGCATACAAACAAATTATTACAATTTTCACGTATATCAAGTGCAAAACTGTTTGTTATTCTCGAGATACGATTTCTGTTCTAGATAATTTAGGACACTTGATGTGAAACAAATCATGAAAATTTTTTTTTTTTATTAAGAATGTTCGAGTTATATTCGTTGTGTGTTTTTTGTAGCATTGAATAATAAGAAAAATTAAGGCAATATTTAGTTAATTTAGATTTGCATGTTTGTTCATTTAGTAAAATTGTTATTATTAAATAATTTCAAATATTATTCTATCTGGCTAAATATTTTTGAGAAATATACTACTCTTCAAAATTATTGATAAATTGATTATTATTTTTTGAATATTTTTTTCTTCTTTTAATTATTTTTAGCAATATGTGATATTCTTAAATCTTAATATTATTATAATATATATATATATTAATTATATATATATTTATGAATAATATTACGATTATATATTATAATATATATTATATATATATATATATATTTATTATATATATATATATATTATAATATATATTATAAATATATAAACGTAATATTATTCATTTTATAGAAATAAATGAATTTTTATATGAAATATATAAATTTATTTTTACACTAGCATGTATACAAAATAATTGAATCACATGAAAATATTTTTAAATTAAATTGATAGTCAAAGATTCAATAGAAAAATGTACTTTTTTTCTCTAAATAGAATGAATACAAGAAACCATTCAAATAATTCGAAAGTATTAATACTATAAAAGTATTATAAAAAATTTAAAATAATTTTAATTAGAAAAAAAGTCTTTTCTACATATACAGATTGTTTCGTTATTCATGATACAGGGATAAAAAAATAAGTTGAAAAAAAATTAAAAGTTTTTCATATGAAATTTCGAAAAATTTGAATTTAAAAATTATTGTATTAAATTTGTAAATTTCGATTTGTCATTAATATTAATAATTTCTTTAATTTCTTAATTTATTTTTATTAAAATAATAAAAATATGTTTATGAAAGAATTATCTTATAAAAGAATTAAAAATGATATATTACGAACAACACACAATAATTAATTAAAAAAATATAATTATGTGTGCAGCATCATGATCGAAATTTTAAACAAATTTTATAAATAAATACATTTGTAAAAAGCAATATCTTTAGAAAAATTATCTTTATTTATTTATAAAATTATTTATAAAATTTTATAATTACATTAGTAATATAATTACATTAGATAATAACAATAAGCAAATAGTATTTCTCATATTTATGAACACAAACACGAATAGAAAAAATTGACAACTAAAATTTATAATTAAAGGACATATAGTCGATAAATTTTCAAATTCAATTTTCTTGAAAATAAAGCTTCGTATGAAAAAGATTTTATCCATTTTTTCTATTTATTTTTTCATGAGGAACCACTCCCTGTCCGGTTTACGAGTAACGGAATATCCTTTATAACATCGAGTTACATTTCTCTTTGTATTATGCAACTTTTATATGAAACATATTTTTATATAACAAGTAATTAGACATTATTTAAAATGATTTTATTATTTGTTTTATATGTTTTGAATTCCTTATGATTATAACCAAAAAAATTAGAATAATTTCCAATATTTCTTGTATTTTTAATAAAATTAAAAAATTTAACTCATTGAAATTTAATTGCAAATTTTCAAATTTTTAATAATCAATTATTAATATATTTCATACATATATATTAATAATTTATATATAATGATATACAATGTACAATATAATGATATACAATCTTTTTTTTTTATACCACATAATTAAAATATGAAATTAAGAATATCTGAAATTTACTTAAAACATTTGTATTTATATTACTAATCATCACATTAACTAAAGAAGAAAATTCTTTATATTTGGCAAAATCATTAAAAAATAAAATATACATTAAAACAGTATATATAGTGTATATTAAAATATATGTTATAATCAAAACAAAAAAAGGAAATATAAATTATTAATATATTAAAAAAATAATTATTATAATACTATCAAAGCCATTAAATTTTTCTAAGAACACTGAAAAATATTGAAAATTGTGAATAATTTTTTTACCTATATATAATATGTATTATTATATTATATTAATATATTATAAGTATTCTATATTATAAATATATTATAATTCTGAAAAAAACAGAATATTTAATTTTTTTTTTTTTTGAAAGAAAAATATTTAATTATATTTTTCCTAAATTAAAATTTTTTAATTTTAATAAAAAAATTGCTTAATTCTTGAGTTAATTAAGAAAGAAATAATGAAAGAAGCATAATTCAAATGTTTTTGAGAATATTAGAAGACTTATAGAAGATTAAAATTAATCATGGAAAATAATTATATTAATTTAGTAATATTGTTATATAATTAAATTAATCATATGCACTTAATAAGATAAGCAAAATTCGTATTTTGCCTACGTTTTTTAATTTATATATATGCAGATAATATATTATATATATTAGCAGATTAATATAGATAGATATGCATATAAAATAAATATAATTTTCTATATTCTAAAAACTATAAAAAATGTAAATAGATATAATGAAAGAAAAGTTATTTATTATAAGATTCATTATTATATATAAATTACAATAAAATGATATATAAAATGATAATTTAAAAATTTTAGAAGAAAAATTTTAGAATTAAAAAAAAAAATAATTTTTTCTTTTATATTAATAATTAAAAATTGAAATTATACAATATATTATGATTTAAGTTTATTCTCAAATTAGAATTTCATATTATACATATTTTAACTATATATTGAATTAATTATTAAAATCTGCATTCATTATTTAAAATTTTAATGTTGTTTAAAAAAAAATAATATTTCATATAATACTTTCATAAAAAAATGTATAATTTAATACAAAAAAATTCATTTTTTTATTAAAAAATGATTAATGATAAAATTAAATAAACATATAAAAAAATATCAATGTTTCATTATTTTGGTATAAAGTGAAAATATGAATTAACAGAAATATTCATACTATAATATGAAAATATTAAACAGAATAAAATTTATTATTATTATTAAAGTTATTATTATTAAATTTATTATTATTATTATTATTAAAGTTATGTATTATTAAATTTTTTTTTTTGATTTTTTGAAATTTCTTTATTATTGATATCTATAATAATAAGAATAACGTTTGATCCAAAGTTTCAAGTATACTGAATAGTATCTATATAATAGTTTAATAATTGTAAATAACTGTAAATAACTGTAAATAAGTAACAATAAATATAATATCTGAAAAATATATGAAAAAATATATTCTATATAAGAATATATAAGAATGAATATAATAATAATAAAATATATGATATACATATTATTAATTTATAATCATTCTGCTATGTATAGAGGTTTAATTGTTAACAATTGATATAATTTTAAAAATAATTGAAAAAAATTTAAAAAAAAATATTTATTTTTTTCCAATTTCACAATCAAAACATATGTATACATACATGTATATATGTATATAAAATATATACATATGTATATATTTTATTATTATACATATGTATATATTTTATATACATTGTATGTATACATTAAATGTGTACATTGAATATATAATATGATTATAAATGTACAAAAATATGTATATAGGATATTAATATATTCATTGAACATTTTTCAAAGATCGACAAACAAAAAAAGTTGGTATATAAAAGTGTCAATAAAGATTTACAATATTTATAATTGAAATTTAGATGAAGCAAAATGACCGTGAAATAATATAAATATATATATATAAATATATATAGAAAAAAAGTGAGATAGTTGTATCTCCTTTACACTCTGTTTCTTGTTATATTTATTTTACCATTTAGAATTTTTCAAAAATGTCCCACGAATATATTAACATAATAATTATAATCATATATTAACATTAATAATAAATTATCATTTGCATATCAAATAATAAATAGATTCTGTATAATGTTTCAAAATAATTAAAAACCTTACCACATTTCTATAGAACGTGATCGAACTATTATATTGAATAGATAAATATTTTGCAGAAAAAATTCAAAATTAATATATTTTAAAAAAGAAAGATTTTAAAAATAAATATACTTTTAAAAAGGAGAAATAAAAATTCCAATTATAATATTTGTACAATAAAATTAAAAAAATGAATGTTAAGAAGACTAAAAATATATATTATACAATTACATAATCATATAATCCAATTAGAAATTAAAATTATAAGTAGAAAAAAATACTTAAAATTATCTATTAAAATTTATAATTGTCATTAAAAATATAAAATATACGAATATTTATTACATATCTATATTATTTTTATTGATCAATTATTTAGATAAAACTTTTATTTAGATAAAATTAATAATAAAATTAATAATAAAATTTTATATAATCTGGTATAAAAATTTATGTAAATATTATGTAAAGATTTTATATTTCATTGAATAATACATAACATTATATAATTCTTTTGTAAAAAAATTATCTGCTGTACGTAATATTTTTTCATTAACATTCATTACATATATCTTTACATATATCCTTAAAAATTTTTTATTTTCAATTTTATGCAATAAATTAATTTTAAATAAAAATATAAAATGGCTGAAAAAATTATAAAATATATAATTATAAATAGATAAGATAATTATAAATAATAAATAATAAATATAAATAGATAAGATAAGATAATTTATAAATAAATATATATATATTATATATTATATATTATATTATATATATATTATATTTTTATAGAATATATTCTATATAATATATAATATTATAATATTATATATACATATAAAATATATCTATATTATTTAAATATTTTTTAAATATATTTACATATTACATATATGTACATATACACATATTTACATATATGTTATTTTATTAATATATCAATTATAAAATATCATATGTCTCAATAGATGTATAAAAATATATAAAAATAAACGTAACAAAAAAAATTGTACTTATTTTAATATACATATATATATATATATATGTTCGTTCATATATATATATATATATATATATATATATATATGAAAATTTTAAATAGTTTTATTTGAAATTATATTTTTTCAATTAATTTTGTTTTTTTTATAATTAATATATTAATAATAAGTAATATATTTTCTTATAAATAAATTTAAGAATTTATTTTATGTATTTTTCAATGCATTTTATTTGAATTAATGTAAAATATAATTAATATGTGATGATATTATGATTAATGTAAATAAATTTTTTGTAATGATGAAATCCATTATATTCTTTTAAGTTTCATGAAATACGTGGAAATTTCCACGATTAATTATATTTATTTTTACAAATCTCGATATGAAAATATTTATTATTTATAATATATTTATAATTATAAATATATATTTATATATATTAATTTATTATTATTATTAATATTATTATTAATAAAAACTATGCAGATATATATTTTAATATCTGTTTATAATTGTTATAATTATAATTGTTATTTTTTTTAACATATTTTGCATATACATAATATTTTTGTAAAAGTAATTTCTCATAAAGAAAAATCATATTGAAATATAATTTAACAAATACAATTTGTACAATCTACTTAACAAACGTTAAAGTTTTAAATTTAACAACGAAGTGTAATACTTTGATTATGAAAGAAGAACGTGCAGAAAAACGTGATAATTTCTCACGTACACGTGCATAATTCTTATTACCTTTAGCAAAGTTCTATACATATAATGGAATGAATAATGATTAGTAAAGATTGAAGAAAACTTACACTCGTCTGCACTGTCCGTCAAGCCTTGTCGCCAGTCCAAAGTCTCCGATCTTGACGATCATACGGTCCGATAGGAACATGTTACCTGGCTTCAAATCCCGATGGACAACTTTCTGAGAGTGAATATATGCAACACCAGTTACCATTTGTTTCATGTAATATCGTGCTTCCGGCTCCGTGACTTTGCCACGGTACTTCAGCACGTGCATCAAACTCTGTTAAATAAAAGTGATACAATTTGAATTGGAAAGCATTAATGCAAAATGGATCGTGCAATGTATACAATGATATCTATGATATTTATTTTTTTGAATGTTTGATCGTATTGAGCATTTTATTTAATATATTTTATTATGTATTTATAAATTCTATTACAATTTGTGATATTTTATTTACAAATTTTATGATATATAATATGTAATGTATATTATAATTTATTTTACATTATTATATATGTATATAATATATGATTATAATATATAAGTATGTAATTTTATTAAGATATTATTTAAAAATATATTATAAATACTTTTAATAATATAAGTTTATTTTTTTTATATTTTTTATTTGTGATATTTAATGTTAAAAAAATATTAAAAAATAAATATTATTAATTAATTATATTAATAATTTTTCTTTGTTAAATTTTTTAAAATCAGAGTATTATTTCAATTGTTTTAACTGTTTTATTTAATATTTTACTAATTCATTTAATTTTGATATGAGTAATTTTGATATATATGATATGAGTGTTAATATATTCAATGAAATTCTTTAATAAAACTTTATTACTAACACATTCAAGATCAAAAATCGAAAGTTTTTGGTGATGGATATTGATTTTTGATAAATATGAAAAATAATTATAAAATAAGAAAAAATGCAATAAAATTTAAAAAAGACTGTGAAATAAATATCATTAACGATGATATTTATACTAACACATAAGCAAAAGAAAAGCGGATATGTAAAAAACTCTTTTTCACTTTTCATATTTTCTAGAAAAATTTATGATGCGTCAATTGCCATAAAATAGGAAATCCCTATGACGCATATGTTATGTCATTGATGTCAAATATGTTATATATGTTGAGTTATAAGTTATAAATAATTTAAATTTTTATTATTTTTTTTTCCTTCCTTCTTTCTTTCTTTCTTTTTTCTTTCTTCCTTTCTTTTCTTCTTCGATTCGTAAAATATTTAAGTTTCAAAATCAAGTATTATATAATTGAAGAAAATAATTGCGAATGAATATAGTGTTAATATTAAATATAAAAAAAAATTTTAATTGATCTATGATGATTATTATTATAATTATAGTAAATAAAAATGATGAAACTGTATTTTATAAAAATATGATTAATTAGAAATATATATATGAAATTGATTCTAATCAACAATTCAAGAAACAAAAAAGACAAAATTTACGTTTAATGATGCATAGAAGGTGTAAATTTATTTAAAAGATAACTTCAAAAAAAGAAGAAGATCCTCTTCTTAGAGATAACTTTAAGAATTTATAGCGCATCGCTACTTTGTTTGAAAGAAAATGTTTTTCCATCCAAGGATAATTGTTACTTTAAGATTTGCAAATGTTATTTTATCATTTTTGGAAAAAAGTAATGATAATTTATTATAATGTTTGTCAAATAATTTTCAATAATAATCCTTCCATATACTAAAATACACAGGCGAAAAAATTTTGCGTACATTATACATTATCTTCTTAATTGAAATTTAGTTACTTTAAAAAGTTTTCAGGTTACTTTACTTTTTCATTTGATAACAATATATGGAATATTTATTTTGTTTTTCTTTGAAAACATTATAAAAAAAAATAAAATATGAAAAAATTTTTTTGAAATATATAGAAGATTATTATATAATGTATGATAATATGTATGATATAATGATACATAATCAAATTTTAGTTATAATTTATTATAAGACGTGAACACAATTTCAGGAATATTTTGTAACAATTAAGAAAAACAAATTTGAAATTTAATAAATTTTATTGTTAACACGAAAATCAAATATCGAAATACTACATATAATGTCCTAAAAAATGATGGAAATGTATGTAAATTTGCTGAAGATCCTGCATATATCATTAATTTTTATTTATTTGTATAATTATAATCATATTGTATAATATGACAATAATATTATGCTGACTAATGAATCAATGTTCAATTTCAAGTTACTTTAACGACAAATCCGTAACATTTTTATCGCTAAATTGTTTCTGAGTGGATGGCGAAGTGATTATTAGTAACAGTTAATAACAATGATTGTTAGTTAATAATTTTAGAAACTAAGAATAATCGAATGATGACGAAGCAGCATTCTAACGGTAAAAACAAGTGAATGATTAGTCATGGAGAGTGCAAGTGTCCGTTCTCTTTTCTATTCACGCAAAAATGCGGTGTCCATAATTTCATTCAATGCATATCAACGATTTACATTAAGATGTGAAATATGTTACTTCTGTCGACAAAAAATTCATGGAATGTTTTTTGTTTCTCAAACTGAAAATATTGCAGCTATTATTTCTATCTGATTTATCATTCTTTTGCAACGACAATTTTAATAATGGTTATTCCTAATCCACACACAATGAAAAAGGATGTTACAATTTTTTAAAAAAGTATTTTAAAAATGTATTATATAATAAAATGTATGATATTATCATTTCAACGATTTCCAAAATAATTTTTTAATTTGATTTTAATTTATTGTTTTTCAAAAAATCGCAAGAATTCCTGTTTCATTTGATAACAACACAAGGAATAAATACCTACTAAAACTATTATTATATATAAAATAACATGATCAATAAAAATTTATTATTATAAAAAAATGCAGCAAATTTATAATATAATTATAAATATAAAAATATAGTAACAAATATTTCACGAACTTTTTATCCAAATATATCGACTTTTATGAAATACATATGATTCACACTCTTCGAAATAATGTAAATAGTAAATAATTCATTAAAATGTTGAAGCATTGAAAAATTACTTTTTTTCTCAAAAATATTTTGATATTTTAGAATATATTTTAATTAATAATCTTTATAATTTAATATTAATATGATTTTAATCAAAATTAGTGTTCGTTATTTTAAAATGTATATTAATTAATCATTATATTATATTTAATATTGATAAGATTTATAATTAATATTATTATGTAAATTAAAAATAAAATTAATGAAATATAATTATTTTTAAGAAATATGAACTTATTATAATTTTTAAATTTTAATTTTTAAGTTTTAATGTAATATTTTCAGATTAATTTTAGTGCAAAACAACATCTTGAACATAATTTGAAAAATTAAAAAATCATATCATATTTATTCTTACGTTATTTTGAAACACTAGAGAATATCTTAAAGAAGCAAAGCAGGATTACTATAATTCTTTTCTAAAAAGTTTTTTCTAAAAATTAACTTGAAATATTTAAAAATAAATTAATTGTAGAACTAATATTAAACAATTTTATTAAATAATTCTTCACGAAATATTCAAAACTCAAATTATTTAACTCTGGTTAAAAATTAATAATATTCTTTCATATTTTTCTGCAACTTAAATAATTTTTTTTTAATGACAGAAGAACACGATTATATAAAAAATAAATATGATAACAGAGTAAAGACTTTTCTAAAATTTTCAAAAGAAGAAAATAATTTTGAATGAAAATAGAAGCTCGAAGAAAAAAGCGATTAATTTCTCTTAAAAGCAGATCATAAATTCTTACAACATCTTGAACATAACTTGAAAATATTCAATGAATCTGGTGATAATCTCTCCGAGCAAATTCTTTGGAAAAGCGAGACTTTATCCAATAGGTAAGCGAACTCCTCTCATTCTTCGAATACAACGGAGTTCAACTCGAAAGGAGAAGGTTAGGAAATTCTTGCGAATATATAGAGGAAATGCGTAGAAAACTGTGCGAGCAGGTAGGTACGAGACACACGATACCTTTCGAGGACAGGCTTCCAGAAGCATGTACACATTAAGATTATCCTCGAAGTAGTGATGCAGCTGGACAACATTCACGTGATTCAGTTCTTTGTGAATCATAATCTCACGTGCGATCTATAAGAAATACATAGGTCATTATTACACCGAATAATTTTCTGTCCATCTGAAAAATTTCAATCAATTATTTTTTATAATGCTGCGATTTAGCTGTTTTAAAAGGGGAAATATTTCTAATCGTTCGTTCGCTCTATTTTTTTCTTAATTCTAGAAAGAAAGAGTTAAAAACTTACGCAATTATAAGTGAGGAGTTGAAACCATTATATATAAGTACAGTTGTATATATTCATATACATATGTTAGAATTAAAATTGCATGATTATTTTCTATGAACAAATAATTTGTCTGTTTAATTTTATATGTAAATTTTCTTAAAATTTTTGGTGATATAAAAGACTTGAAATTTTACTTTTTGGCTCAATTTTTTTGGCTTTTTAATTCTTTGTTTTATTGCATTATCAAGTATAATATTTTTTTTCTTTTTTTTTTTATATCATGAATTTATTGATGTGTTAAATATGTAAAGTAATATTCATTTATGATTTTCTTGGAAAAAAGTAAAATAATCATTTTCTGTGATTCAAATTTAATTTAAATTTTTTCATTTATTTATTTTTATACATATTATAAGAAATATTATTATTTGCTGAAAACTAAAATTGAAGTATTGTTTAAAATTACTGAATAAAAATTGATAAAATAAAAATAATAATTTTTAAATGATTTGCATTTTCAAAAATTTTTTAATTCAAATTTAATTCAAATTTTTTAATTCAAAATCTTAATTTAAATATTTTTAAGATAATTTTTGTTCACTATTAAGTTAATAAATAATAAAAAAGAACTTCATTTTTATATATTTATATTTTAGTTCTAAAAATAATTAAATATATAAATAATTTAAAGATACATAATTTTATGTAATTTTATATCTCGAGAATATGAATAAAAATATACATTAATTTTTTATATTAATTTTTTTTGAATTTTTAAAATAATTTATATTTGCATAAAAAATTATATTTTACAAAATAAAAATTTCCAATTTAATATACCAAGAGTTTTGATTAAGTCATATATTTATTGCATATTATTATTCTATTTAAATGATTTTTATACACGTATTATTTATAATTATATTATAACATACAAACATATAAATTTGTTTTTCTTTCAATAAATTATATATCATTTATTTATATATGTATAAATAAATTATATATTATATATATATATATATCAATTTTTATAAAAACTCTGGACACTTTCTTTAATAATAATTTTTAATAAAAAAGTTTTTTATTAAATTTATTATATTTATTATATTTTATTATTTATTATATTTTTTTTAATAAATAATAATAAATAATTTTTTGAAATGATAATAATAATAATAATAATTTTACTATCCGAATTATATAACGTTAATAATAATAATTTCGAAATAATAATATATGTGTATTTTCTAAATATAACAATAAAACTTTTTGCCTAATCTCTTTCTAGGTCATCCTAATAAATGAACTCTATTTTAAAATTCTATCAAAATAAAAGATACATAAATATTTCTATACATTTATTATATTTTTTACTTTCTAAAAAGTGAAAATTAAATATACATATATATAGATATCTTGATATATTTACGTAATGTCTATAGATAGAGACATACAGTTGTTTAAATACAAAAATTTTATATATTTTATAATAATGTCAATTTTTATTATATTTTATTATATTTTATTATATTTTATTATATATTTTTTAATTAAATTATTCAATTAGAATAATATAAAAAACTTGTCTTTGGAATGGAATCAAATGATTATAATGCACATATGATTTTCTGACAAGTAATTCATCTTCATACAATATGGAATCTTTTTACTTGTAAAAATAAGAATTTACAATAAAATATATAAAGTTTTTCATATAATTGATTTATATAATTCTTAAGCAATAAAAAATAGAGTAAAATTTCATAGAATAAAATTAAATTTTTTATTTTTATAGTTTATCGTTTCATATGTGGACTTAATCTAGAAATGGAATTTCAATGGAAAGTCCTTTTTTAAATAGAATTTTATTTTTTTTTATACGAGTCAAAATAAATTTTATTCTTTATAAAAGAAATATCAAGATATTTGTATCAAGAATTGATTAGTTCAATTTTAGAAATATTTTAACTTAATAAGTATATAGTAGAATCATTATTTGAATTAAGGAAGGAAGTCAAGGCCGTTTGCATAAGAAAATTTTCGAATAATAAAATATTTTGATGAATTTTTTTTAGTTATTCTATATTTTTACAAAAAAAATTTATACGATTTTTTTTATTATACAAAACTGAATAAAATTATTCAATTTCATCTAAAATTGCATTTTCGAACCATCATAATCTTTTTTTCTAGTATGTCGAATTTTTTAAAATGAGGAAGTATATTTTCACTTTTAATGTTTTATTGCATTTAGATTAAAATCACTTTTAATCTACATGTCTATTATTTTAATATTAGAATTTAAACATTATTAACAATATTCTCTTCGTTATAATTTTTACCACATTGGAGCCATTTTATGACATCAATGTTTTATTGCATTTTTTGCATTTTAGTATTATATACAATATCGCAATAAATTTTTTTACATCTTGAAAAATATTCTGTTCGTTAATTTCAATTTCATAGAAAGATTTCAATAAAAGAAGTAATAAAAGTTTCCTTCATGTTTTTATTGTAATTTAAGATAGCGTACAATTCGGATAGTAAAATATTCGAATAATGGAGGTTCTTTTTTCTGATAATTATTGTATAAAAATATAAATACGGCACTTCGTTTTTTGTTCTTCATTCGCTAAACTTTGCTGATATAAGATTAAAATATTTCTTAAACTATTGAATTTTTGATACTAATACGTGAATATAACATAAAAAATTTAATTAAAAAAAATAAACGTAAATATAAAAATTTTCATTACAAAAAATATTCTTACAATTCTTTTCTTTCAGATCAAATTCAATATTGTTTCATTTTGCCATATAAAATTTTATTCTATCTTCTTAAAAGCTAGATTCAAATGCATGAAATATCTTGTATGTATCCACGATATGAATTATATAATATTTTAAATAATAAAAATCACAATATTACATGTTATATGTAATAATAAATTTAAAAAGAAAGAGAAGTAATTGTATAACATTATATAACGTTATTAATATTATATATATTTATATAAATAATAATTAATTAATCAATACTAAACAAACCTTTTGCATATGGATTTTTTGCATTCGGTTTTTCCTGATGATCTTGCAAGCATATTCATTTCCATTATTGACATCAGTCATCAGAAAAACTTTCGCGAATCCACCCTGAAAATAGTACGAAAAACATATGTAATACAAAAACAAAGTTTTCCATAATTTATTATGATTAATCAGTAAGAATATTGTGCATTTATAGAAAATTCAATCATGCATACAGCATACATACAGCATGATAGAAATATATAAAGATAAAATATTTAGGATAAAATAATATTATAATATTTTGTAAATAAAATTTTCATTTAAGTTCTGCATCTTTAGAATCGTTTATAAAAATATAAATTTCTATACATATAATACTAACTAAATATACTATAATGTTAAAATATATTATATTATTATATATTATAATAAATTATTTAATACTATATTTATATACTATATACTATATCGCCACCATATTTATATACTATAAGTATTTAATAATATGTTTAATTATTATAATAATTATTAATAATTAATTAAATATATTTGCTATTAAATTTATTATAAATCTATCTAAGTTTTAATATAAATAATTTAATTATATATATGTATTTGCTGATTAAATCATAATTCAAATTTTTAATAATTTTCATTAAAATTTTTATTAATTACTCTCAAATTTTTAATAATCAAATAATAAAAATTAAAATTTCCGAAAGAAATATAGATTGTTTTTTCTTATTAAAATATACGATACTAAAACAAATTTATTTTTCTACATAAAATGTATCAAGAATTTTTTTGAAAATAACTAGAAAAATAAAACTTCGTAAAAGTAAATTCGAAATGTAATATGTATACATTCATTTAAGTTTATTTTCTGTATATTTTTTAGCTTTAATATCATTACATATTAATATTTTCGTAATAATGATAAACATTGATAAAAAAAATAATTTTAAAAAATAGATTATTACTATATTGTAATATTAAAAAAAATTTATGTAAAAAGTAATATAAAAATCTTATAAGAGAGAAGTTATGTGTAAAATTTTTGATATCAAATCATCATAATGTCATATTTTTATAAAGATTTATGAAAATTTGTATAAAAATAAAATATTGACAATTTTTTATAGAAAAAAAATAAAAATAAAAAAAAATAATTTTATTAAACTAGAAGAAAAAACAAACATATTATTATCAAAATCAATTTAAAAAAAATTGTAATTTTGGATATGAAAATATAAAGAAACATAAATATTATAAATTATAATAAAATAAATAAATATTTGAAATATTTCTGTCTATCAGAGAGAAAAAAAATAGTTAGAGAATTAAGATGAGATAAATGAATATAAAAAACAATGTTTCAAAATTAAAAATTGTTTCTTAGATTTTACACTTTAGTAAAAAGTTTTCTTTTTTAGAAATACTTGCCTTCAATTCTACAAGAATCTCTTTAAATTATGTTTTATTGCTTCGTGTCAATATTATTGCTATGGCAACGGAAAAGAAAGTAAAAACATTCTTTACGATGCTCTCTTACAACTTTTGCAAATCATTTTCTTTCCTTTCAGGATACTTTTACTCTCTCAAATCGAATAATGTTGTGTTATTCTTAGTGCTGACTTTCCACTCTTCTCACGACTTTTCGTTGAGAGAAAAGATTAATCTGTTTCTTTCACAAATGTAAATAAAATTTTCTTTTCAATATTTACTATGTATTTATATTTTTCGATCCAAATTCTATTAACAATTTACAATAATAAACAATTTAGTTAAAACCAGTATTGAAAATTAATATAAAGTTTATTATATTTATAAAGTTTTTTTTTAGTTTTAAGTATTAAATAATTATAATATAATATAATATTAAAATGTAATTCTAAATTTTATAAAATTTTATAAATATTTTTAAAAATTATTTTTATATATGTTATTATTATATATGTTGTATTAAATTAACAAATAAATCAATTAGATTAATTCACAATCAATTAATAAATTGCATATTTTATTTCTATAAAATTTTAAAATTATGAGTATACATTAATTTTAAAATAAATATTTATCAAAAATTTTTAAATTTATTTTTTTCTATTAATTTAATAGATATTATATTTACAATATCATTATCATTCATTAGTTACTAATAATAAAATATAATAATATAATAATATAATAATAATATAATATAATATATAATAATATAATAATAATAAAATAAATATCATCATATGTTTTGTATGTCCATTTTTAGTATTTTAGTAAATTTTTAGTAAACAGATGAAAAGATTTAATAACATAATTAATTTAATACAGAAAAATAGATATTATTTTTAATTCATGAATTAAATATAAATTTTATATATACAATATAACAAAAATAATCAAAATGATTAAAAAAAATAAAAAAATATATAAGAATTAGTTTAAATATATAATACTCTAAAATATAAAGAATATAATTTTCTATATAATAAAAATTTTATTTATAATTACCAAGATACTCATTTTTGTTACTATATTTTCGAAAGATAATTATAAATATAAATTATGTAATATTTATGTAATATTTTTTTGAATATTAAATTTTGTAACTTCAAACTAAATATTCCAAAGTATTGAATTTTTTCATAATTTAATTGTAAAAATTATTATATAAAAACAAAATTAAAATAAATGTACTCAATATATTATTTAATAATTTGAAAAAATAATATATTATTACAAAATTAATCTAGAATTGTAATAAACAATTTATGATTTTGCATGATGCTCTTAAATCTATCTTTTCAAATAAATTATTATAAAAGCCTATAGACAAACTTTTTTCCTTTCGTAAATGAATAGTAGAATCATCTCTTCAATGGTTCTTGCTAATAACATAAATAAAAAATATATTTTCAAAAACATTTGAAATATTTCTGTGCCAGAAAGTAATAACGAGAAGAGAAAAAATGGAATTACCTTCAAAAATAATCGATATTAAATAGTAGATTGCATTTTCTCATTCAGTCTTTAGACTGCATAAAGAAAATTAAGAATGAAATTTGTTAATAGCACATAAATATATCAAATATCATTGGCATTTTGGGAAAAGGATGCATATATTAGCGGACTGATTACCAGAATAACTCGTTCGAAAATATCCTCGGCATTACGAAAATCACGCTTGTCACGTCATGTCGTCATACGATTAAAAGTGTATACATATCTATGTACATATATAATAGCACATTTTTATGATTTAAGTATTGTAAAATGAAATTCAAAATTTTAATATACTTTTTTGCACGTGTATATTAACTTAATTCGTTAAAAATCAAAATGAAATAATTTTTATATAATAAGATAATTTTATAATATTATAATATAAAATTATAATAATATATTATAATAATATTATATAATAATAATAATAATAATAATAATATAAATTATAATATAAAATAAATATAATATTATAATATAATATGAATAAATATAAATGTTATCAAAGAAATTTATTGAGTAGTATTTATGGGATTTTTAAAATATTTGATATGTATGTATTTGATTGTATTTTTAAAATATTTGATAATGGATAATGGATTTTTTCAAAATATTTTACATAAATAAATACGAATTGTAATAATAAATTAACTATGTCTAAAAATAAAATAAAAATATGAAAAATATTTCTACGATTTAGTAAAATTTAATTATCATTAAATAATTCAAATTTTTTAAATCTAATATTCTTAAATTTATTTGAAAGAAAAACTGATGATAGAAAAATTTTTTAAAATTTCTTTCATCATTATAATATTAAAAAACATTATTTAAATATATGTTATATTGATTGAAATATAATATAAATATTTTCTTTTATTCTATACACGTATATATTTTGTAATCATATAATTTATTGCAATTTAATGACATTTCAAGAGAAATGCTTTTTCTTTCTTATGACTTTTTGATGGTTTGAGTTTGGTATAACATGGAAAGTAATTGAAGAAAAATTAAAATTGAATAATGAACATTATTATTGATTATATAATAGAAAATAATATCTGTATAATATCTATATAATATAATATCTATTGTAAAAGCACTGTAATGTTAAATGAATAAAAAAATAAAAAATAAGAGATATAAATAAATTATAATAGTTGGATGAGAACTAATGCAATAGTTAGATAAAAATGCTTTTAATAAGAAATTTTTCTAATTTATTTCTGAAGATTATTTTTTTTTTCTGAAGAAATTTTTTTTTTGCAAGCATCATAATATTAAAAATATATAATATAATTTATACATAGATTTCATTTGTTAATAATTTCTTATCAAATATAAGAAAAAATATTAAATAATATTTTCAAAGTTTTTCGTTAATAAAAATCATTAATAAATATATATAAAATTATTATACATTTAAATACTTTAATTAATTGATATGTAATATATAATATTATATTATTAATTAATTATTGTAATTATTAATACACAATATATGTAATTTAATTGTAATATTTATTTAAAAAATGATTATTATTCATTAATGAATTGAATTATAATTATTAATAATTGTATATAATATAATAAATTACTATCAATAATAATAAAACTAGTAATAATAATAATTATCAAAAATATACAGTTTAATATATTTATATGATATCAAAATCGATTGTAAAAGCCAAAGCAAACAGAAATTGATAAAAAAATTGGTAAAAAAATGTCAGTTTAAGATTTATTTATTAAGTCATTAAGTATTTTTTTATGCTAAACCGTGATTTAAAAGAAAGAGAATAATTTCATTTGTTTTGTCCAATGCAAAAATTCAATTTTTTATATTTATATAACCAACTTAATAAATAAAACTTTTGCCATTTTAATACACATGTAAATACGATATTAATAAGAAATATAATAAATTAATATTCTAGATAAAATTATGTATTAATATCCATATAAATATAGCTTACAGAAGTAAAACTTTTATAATAAAATTTTTTATCGATAAGTATAGAAAAAAATTTTTCAGAAATAAAGAAAAATTTTATTTTATTTGTAACACGAGTTTGACAAACATTTTTATCATTAAGAAATGTGGAAGGTAAAATAACATG